ATTGTAACAGACTGTAACTCTCTAACTTTAACCCTCAATAAGATTGAGTTGAACCCAAGAATAGCAAGGTGGGCTCTAGAGCTACAGGAATTCGATTATGAATTAAAACACAGAGCAGGCAGACAAATGCAACATGTAGATGCATTGAGTAGATGCAACAATATTATGATAGTGGAGGCAAATACATTCGAAACAAATTTAGTAATTTGTCAATCAAAAGATGTAAAGGTTCAGGAAATTAGGAAAATGTTAGAAAGTAACGAGCATAAGTTATATGAAATGAGAAATGGTGTGATCTATAGGAAAAGCAACGACAGCAGATTATTGTTTTACGTACCGAATCGAATGGAGGAACATGTGCTATACAAGTATCATGATGAAATGGGTCATATTGGGAGAGATAAAATGTTAGAAGTTATTGGAAAGAGCTATTGGTTTCCACGCATGAAAGATAAAGTCGTGGAACACATTCAAAATTGCTTAAAGTGTATAGCGTATGCTCCGAAGGTAGGTAGAGGAGATGGACATTTACATAGCATACCAAAAGGCAACAAACCTTTTGAGATCATTCATATAGATCATTATGGGCCGGTAGATAGTAGCAGATCAAAAAGCATATATTTGTGGTCGTAGATGCATTTACAAAGTTTGTTAGGTTGTACACAACAAAAACGACAAATACAAAAGAGGTGATAAATGCATTAACAGACTATTTTCGAGCTTATAGTATACCTAGATGCATAGTATCAGATCGGGGCAGTTGTTTTACATCGTCTGATTTTGCAGAGTTTATGGAAAAAAGTAATGTGAAGCACATAAAAATAGCGACGGGCTCGCCGCAGGCTAATGGCCAAGTTGAACGAGTCAATAGAAGCCTAGGACCTATGATAGCAAAATTGACAGAACCGGAAAAGGGATTACATTGGGATAGAGTTATGGAAAAAGTAGAGTATGCAATGAATAATACAATTCATAATAGTACTAAGCAGTGTCCTAGTGAAACATTATTTGGGATAAGACAGAAAGGAGAAGTTTTGGATAATCTAAAAGAAAGATTAGAAGACGAAAATGAGTTAGGAAATATTAGAAAAACCTTAGAAGATGTTAGAAAAGAAGCAGAAGAGGAACAAAGGAAATCTCAAATAAAGAATGAAAAATATTATAATGCAAAAAAGAAAACTGCTACAGAATATAAAGAAGGAGATTATGTTATGGTAAAGAATTTTGATAGCACTGTAGGAGCTTCGAGAAAACTCATTCCAAAAAGTAAAGGTCCTTATGTAATTGAAAAAGTTTTAAAAAATGACAGATATTTGCTTAAAGATATTGATGGGTTTCAGTTGTCTCGCAATCCATATCAAGGTGTTTGGAGTGCGAATAATATAAGACATTGGTTAAAACTGTAATTAAGATAGTAAACTAAGAATTGAATTGTAAATGAAAATCAAATTGTAAATAGTAGTTAAGTTATAATTCTAAGCAGAGATAGAGGGCTATCTCAAAGTCAGGACGGCCGAGTTGTAGCAGGCCAGTTAAGATAAGTATGCTCTGGCCACTCTAATTGAGATGTTACGCTCTCTCAAAAGAGAACATGAGAGAGCGACTGGCTAAGAATGGGGGTTGATTGAGTGTTTGCTGAGAGCGGCAGATCACTTGGTGAGAAGATCGGAACGAGAGTAGACGTGTAAAGACAAAAGTGTAAAGACAAGAGTGAAGAATAGATAAAACCAAGTATAAAAGTTTTAGATTAAATAATAAAGAAACATTAGTAAGAGAAGAAACGAATTAGAAGTGTTTAGAACTAAAAGGCGGCTACACTACTTTGATATTTACCTAAGCAACAGCTACATTCAACAATTAAACTATAGCCAAGTGTCTATCTTACAAATAAAGATATTATACAGAACATTTCTAACTATATATGCTATATATTTATTTATAAAATTTTAGAGGCAACATTTTCTCTCTGTGCACTTTGACCATTCCCACACGCTTTAAGTCACTTGCGCTCATAATGCCCATAAAAAATTTGTCATCATTAGCCGAAGCGAATGACGCTGACGTACTGAAGTCCGCCCATCTATCAATGTGTGTATCTGCTTTGGGCCAGGAGCAAGGACACTTTAAAGGACTAGCTCGGACCGGAGTCGGGCCTGGACTGAGGGGGGGGGGGGACTCGGGCCCTTTGCTGCATATTAGTCAGCGGCTTAAAGCTTTCGATTGATTGATTATGCATTAGGGGGCACTGGGCCACTGGCCCAAAAGGTTGCCATTCGCTTTAAGGCTTCAAGGCTTTAAGCCGCCCCATTAAGGTTATTAAATATGCCCCCTTTGTGTGCGAACTATGGTGCTCGTATGTGAGCTATTAGAAGCGATAATGGATTGCGAATATTAATTTCTTCGCATGACGAAAAGAATCAACAAAGAACAATGCGTTTAATCTTTATAGACACGCAGCCGCAAGAGTGGGGACGGACAATGCCTTGTGCCAATAATGATAACCGGAAGCCATTAAAGGAAGTTTCAATACAAGAAACACTCGCCCACGCACACACACACACACACGGAATGGCGCACACAAGCGCATGAATGCCTTCGCAGGCAGCTTAAGGCTCTGTGCCTTCCTTTTGTGTATATGTGCACAGTGGAAAAACCACGTAAAGGATATCTTGAAGGACCTTAGGTCCATCTATTTGTGAACTAACTAACTAATTAAAAACTTCTAAATCCTCACTGTAGACTGATAATTTATTTATGGAAATTACTCAAAACTATTGTACTTTTAATTTAATTTCAATACAGCGTTTTAAAATTCATTTATTCTTTAAAACATTGAATTAAATTAAATTGAGACTATTTATTTCCCAACACTTTATTTTATTTTCAGAACTTTGTAGTCCCCAAAAGCTTCTTATTTATCCTAATCTTTAGTATACTATTTTTGTGCAGTGCACGTGCGTGTGGTTGTAGTTGTGCCTGTTGTTTGCCTTCCATTTCCATTGCATCGTCGGCAGCAGCAGAAGCAGCAGAAGCAGCAGCAGCAGCGATATTGTAATTTTTATTCCGCTTTGTGCCATTCAGGCGGCAAGCGGCAAAGGCAAAAGGAAAGGAAAGGAAAGGAAAGGAAAGCCTCCGAAAGGAAGCCGAGCGTTCAATTCCCTTTCAATAAGGAAGCAACTGAGGATGTAGTGTGTTTGTAGGCGGCACCGCACACGCACCTTGCAATCTTGCTAATGTTTTTTCTAGAGAGCGCGTCTTAAGAGTGAACCTGCACCTGCAGCTTTGCAGTTAACAGTTTGTCCTCAGCAAACAGCCGGCGGGGCAATGCGGAAGTTAAAGTCGGGCTGGCAATCCGACCCTGGCTCAGGTCATGCCACAGGTATTATGCAGACCGTCAGGCAGACAATCGAGCTTGTGATGGGGGGCACCAAGGTTTTTCGGGATATCAGAGGGAACGGCCGGAAAATTGGGTGGGTTTTGAGGGGGTGGGTAGAGTAGACCATCAATGGCACACTCTCGCATTTTCAATTGATTTAACATCAAACGCACAGGCATGTAACGCTGCCTCGGTGTGTGTGTGTGTGTGTGTATATAGCTTGCATTTTTTACGTGCCGCAGCGCAAAAATGCCTGGGAATATTATCCGAGAGCATTATGTTGATGCCGATATATACTCGCACAATATGAAATTCCATTGCATTTTATAGGCAGGCAACCAAGGAGAAGACAGCACAAAATACAAAAGCCAGGAGTGAGACAAGTGTAATCGAGTATCCAGACCATGAAATACTGTGTACTCATTTAGCAAAAAAGGATTGTATACTTTGAGGCGCAATCAGAGCATCAGAGCTATGCCAAGTAAATACCAAACTATGTAATAAAATAGTTAAGAAGAAAGAAGTAGTTAGCAAAATATACATATGTATACTTTTAGGTCAAATTATTACACAGCGATTTCAGAAGCAAAGTACTTGCACCATATACTCAAATTGATTTTAAAATTTCACCTGTAAATTACTATCTTCCCATTAAATTTTTGCCATGTAAAGTTACGAATGTATAACCAAATTATTGGCAATGATGAAGGCCTGAAATTGGAAAGGACACGGTATACCCTGCATGTCGGATATAAAACAGCAGGAAAAATCAAACACACACACACACGGAGGAGAAGACACACACAATGGCAGGCAGGCAGGCAGGCAGTAAAAACCTGCGGCAGGCCATTGTGAGGAATAAACAAAAGATGCAGCAGATGGAAGGCGGAGCTGCTGGATCGGCCAGAATAACAAAATACCGCAGACAAAAACCGAAAGCTGTTCGAGCGTGCAAAAGGTGAGGCCCCCAGCCACAGCCCAAAAGTACAAGTGAGTAGTTTTAGTTGGGGATTGGCCTTTAGAAATGTGGCGAAGTGAAATTTATAGCTTGGAAATTAATAACAAAAAGCACACAATGAACATAGTGGGTATATGACCTAAGGACACTCTAAGGGGCCTGACTAATAACGTTCCGCACTCTGAAGTGTATTAGACAACGGTGCGTATGATGAATGCCATCGAAGGACTAGCGAAACAAAGGCTTATGAGAAATTCACTGATAAAGGGCATGGGAGGTATATTGTCTTAATTCTAAGGTTGCTTAGCCCAAAGCAATGAATTCTTACACTCATTGTTACAGAGGAAAGAAAAGGAAATTTAAGAAGGCTTACATTTATGTTTTCTTTATACGATTTCATTCTGGAACATCATATCATACAATCTTTAATCCAACAACAAATGTAATCTAAATCTAAAGAAATCAATAAAAATACTGTCTCAATTCTTTATTAATTAGGAAAGACACTTTTCGAATATATATAATTAAATAAAGCATTTAATGTGTCTAATTGGTTTTAATAACACTAATAATAATTGCTGGGAGACTTCGCAGACACGTAAGGGTCAGATAAAGTATTTTAGTATAAAAGGAACAGAAATTGGCATTCAAATCAGTCATTTCACAATGAAGAGTCCTGTGGAAGTAAGCCCGTCACATCGCTTTCGCGAACTATCAAAGGACATTAACAAGTTAATAGTTCTTTTGGGATTGGATATATTTGCACCAAGTGTGAAATTTAACTATCGCACTGTGACCACTACCATTCTGCTTGCCAACTTCACATCCTTTACCATTTTCTCCATATTCAATAATGGCACTGATTGGGAGAAAAATTTAAGGGCCACCTCGATGATTGGTGGACTGCTGCACATTCTTGGGAAGTTCCTGACCTGCCTGTTTAAACAGCAGGACATGCAGAAACTCATATTATTCACAAGCAGTATTTACGAAGAGTATGAAAATAGGGGAATACTCTACCGCAAAATTCTGCATTCAAACATCGATCGGTTGCTCGGCTTCATTCGAATCATTCGCAATGGTTACATCGTTACCTTTTTATAATGTTGTCAATGCCAATGGCCATGCTGGTTTACGATGGAACTCGGGTCACCGCAATGCAGTTCGACATCCCTGGCCTTCCGTTGGAGAGGAATTATGGCTACATACTCACCTACATAATTCACTTTGTAAGATTTAAAGCTCTGCTTTTCGTATTTACATTATGAAATATATTTGGAATATTTTCCATTCTAGATTTCACTGAACGTTGGTGCCATTGGATTTTATGGCGGAGACTTGTTTGTCTTTCTCGGATTAACTCAGATTAAAACATTTGCCGATCTGATGCAGCTTAAAATAGATGAGCTAAACGAAGCCCTGGTTCATAAAGCTCAATCAAGAGAACTATTGGCAGTGAATGTACAGATTGAAGGAGAAAATGATCGACTACACCTTTTATTAAAGGTCATTAAATGGCATCAACTTTTAACGGAGTAAGAAATACCTGAAGAAGTGTTATTTAAATATAATTGAAATGGTAATTTACAGATACTGTCGCACGGTGAACGCTATATACCATGAATTGATCGGCACTCAGGTCATAGCCATGGCCTTGTCAATGCTGCTTAGTTTCTGTTTAAATTTAAGTGGTTTTGACTTGTCGCTGACTGTCTACTTTGTGGTATCAGCTTACAGTATGTCCGTCTATTGTTTGCTAGGCACCACAATTGAATATGCAGTGAGTTTCTTTCGCTTTTTTGAGTATTAATTTCTTTTTAACATTCTTAATTATTAACAGTATGACCAAGTCTACGATAGTATCTGCAATGTGGACTGGTACGAGTTGAGTGTTAACCAGAGGAAGCTCTTTAGTCTCATGCTGCGGGAGTCTCAGCATCCCCTTACTATTGAGATCCTTGGAATTATGTCGCTGTCTGTTAATACAGCTCTACAGGTAAAGGCTACCTATAATACATATAACTCATCAATTGGCAATAATTATTTTTTTCTATGACCTCCAAGATTGGAAAAGTAATTTATAGTTTATCCATGGTGGTGATGAATCGTCAATAATTGTATGCATACGTGGCACGAATTATGGTGTCACAAATTTATATAAAAAATTTACCCTACAACCTTTTCTAATGTTAATTTTTACAAGATTAAAAGCAACAAAAACATATTTAAAATAAAAAGACAGGATTTGATTAATCCAATCTGTTCATGGGGACTGAAGTGTATTAGACAACGGTGCGTATGATTAATGCCATCGAAGGACTAGAGGAATTACAGCTTAAAGAGCTATATTGGAATTGTCTCATTGTCTTAATTTTGGGAATGTTTTTATTGTTTCGCAGCAAGAAGTAATTATTAAAAGCCCTAAAGATTTGGAATCATAAAATACATATTTAACTACTTTTTACGTCATTTAACCCAAGAACAAATATAATTTAAATTATTTTTCTTAAGGAAATCGAATAAATACTTGAGTATTCCGTATCTGCTACCAGCGTTTGTATTCTTTTTTAATTAAGACATAACTTTTCAAAAAAAAAAATAACTTATTTTAACTTTTATCGATTATTTAATTATATAAAAGTATTTGAAGTGTCTAGTTGTTCTTAATAGCAGTAATAATAATTGCTGGGATTTTTTGCAGACATGTAGTCTGTATTTTATTGTAAAAAGAATAGAAAGTGACATTTAAATAAATTATTTGACAATGAAGAGTCCCGTGGAAGTCGTTCCGTCCAATTGCTTGAACTATCCAAAAACCTTAACAAGATTATAGTCTTTTTGGGATTGGATATACTATGATATATTTGCACCAAGTGTGAAATTAAACTATGGCACTGTGATCAGTGTCAACTTAGTAAGTAACTATGATATGAGCAGTAAGTAAGTATAATCAGTAATTAACTATGAGCAGTAAGTAATTGTGCACAGTAAGTCTCTATGACCAGTAAGTAACTATGATCACTAAGTATCTATAACAAGTAAGTATCTATAACCAGTAAGTATCTATAACCAGTAAGTATCTATGAGCAGTTACTAACTTTGAACAATAATAAACAATGACTTGCAACTTTTGTAACACAACACATTTCTGAGACTTGGCTGGCAGCAGTCACTTCGTTACCGGGATGTTAGAACCAGTTGGGAATCACATGCACGCATGTGCGAGATTTGTTTTAGAACAAATGTTTAGCTATTTTAAAGAAACTAAGGAGTCATTCTTCTACATATATAATTTTACTAGTATAGAAGTCGGAGCATGGCGAATCGGTGAACAATATATATACATATATATATAGTTGCCATAGGAACAATCGGACGATTTATAGAACTAAGAGCAGTAATTAACTAAGATCAATAATTAACTATGATCAATAAGTAACTATGAGCATTAAGTAAATCTGGACAGTAAGTATCTATGGCCAGTAAATAACTATATCAGTAAGTATCTAAAATATCTAAAAGTATAAGAGTATCTTGGTATCTAAAGGGGACCATGGCAATAAACAAATAAATTGGACCTAGGCCTGATCCCATCACCAGCTTCATACATAATATAAATGGTTAAGACTTACCGCAGTTAGGGACACGTCATTGCTTACTTCCTTCCCGTGTAGTAATCAAGAATCCAAGAGAGCTTCTTCCTAGTCATCCAGATGTTTTGCATTGGCCACGTCATATTTTTGAGGTCGAAGGCTGATCACTTGCACTATCACTTTCGATGTAAACACTAGGTACCCCTAGGACAGACTGAGGCGCGCGCGACCTCAGCGCCTCTATTTATAGTCCCCGAGGAAAGAGAAGAGAAGAGAAAGTGAGTGTGAGTGCGCGGGAGAGGAGTTGCCTCTAGAGATCAACATAAAGCGATATAAATGGAGTAAGAGGGGGAGAGGCAGAGAGAAATAGCGAGCTATTTAATTTAACTATAATCTATAATCTATAAACTATAACTAACTTTGAACACTAATAAACAATGACTTGCAAATTTTGTAACAACACATATCTGAGACTTGGCCGGCAGTAGTCACTTCATTCCGGGGATGTTAAAACCAGTTGGGAATCATATACATGTGCGAGATTTGTTTTGGAACAAATTTAAGAGCAACCTATATGAATGAAACTATGGAGCTTTTCTTCTTTATAATTTTACTATAATATAAGTCGGAGCATGGCAAATCGGGGGACTCTATATACACATATTTGTATAGCTGCAATAGGAAGAATCGAACAATTTTAAGATTGCAGATTGCTAATCTTGTTTATAGTGTGTCAATATGATGATGAATGGTTAATAGATGTGTATATATACTATGCCACAAATTTACCTTATATCAATTAGCTTTTAAGAAGCCTAAAAGTGGCAACAACCTATTAAAAATCTCGAGTCAGAATGTGATTTTCATAATCCAAGCTAAGAATCCTAAAAAATCCTGGAATCGGCTTAATTCTTTTTAAATTGGGTTTCTGCCTCTGCTGATGAACTCGTGATGCTGCTCCTGCTGGCCATTAACCTTGGCCACTAATTACCAACGCAAACAGCTGAATTTATGGCATCGGCTTTATGGAGCCCCCCTGACTCGAATGCATTAATTGTGCGTCTCATTAAGGGATGTTTCTTATGCACAAAACATTTAATATATCTCGCATATACGCATAAAAATTTAATTTATTTTGAAATGGTTCGTTCGCTGCGCTCACTTCCCCGATATTTGGCCAGCGGACATTAATAGCCCCTGACCAGGCCATGAATAATGGCCGTTTTATAAATGTGGTCGGGACAACGGCCCGAAAGCTCGAATGCTCTTTTGCTGGGATGCTGGAATACCAAAAAAAAAAAAATGAAAAAAAAAAAATAATAACAATAATTGTAACGTTATTATAATGCAGTTGTAATTAAGTGCATCGTTACTGCGGCATAAAAAAACGGAATGATTTTAATAAAATCAACAGTCGGAAGGTCAGCGGCAGGGGAGCCTGGGATTCAGGAGCGCAACAGTTTGGTCAACGGACTCAACGACCTCTTGGCTGGGAAAACAAACGCAACAAGCGCAACAATTTACGAGCATTTCACATTCCATAATTTACTTATTTTCCATGCGCTATTTAATTACGCTAAATAATGGCCACAATGGGTTGAGCATTTATTTGTTTATTTATGCCTGCTGATCGCAAACCGAAAGCCATTTGGAAGCTGTCTGAAAACGTATTTCAATTAATATGAAAACGTATATTAAACCATCAAGTTTAGTAAATAAACAACTGTGAAACCCAAAATTACTTATAAGAATAAAAGGTAGTGTCCCTATATTCTCTTATTTAATTTTAACATAGTGAAAACATAACCAATTATTTGATTATGAACTTCAGAATCCGAGGACATCCCAGCTGTCCAACGAAGCCAGGACTCCGGCACCTGGTGCATCCTGTTGCCATTGCAACTAATGCAATTTGCTTGCTTGTTGGCTGGCAGATAACAAAACTCATTTACAGCCTGTCCACGCCAATGACGCCGCTCCACAGAAATCGCTGGAAAACGGAAGGAGGCACTTGGCACTCAGGACCCAGCTACGCGGCACTCTTAACGTCAAGACACTTTGTATCAAGTGCAGCGGCACATCAGAGACCCGTGCCGTGCAATATATTTTCTAATGCTTGTTTTGAATCATTTTTAGGGGCCGAAGGACGGGCAGAGCTGGGCAGAGCCCTGGCAGGTGGTCTGGGTCGCCAGCTGGCAAATAAAATAAATTAGTTGCAGTTGAAAGGTGGCTCAGACACAAAAGTCAACACGCAACGCGCGATGGAACCGCAAACAAACGCCAGCTGCTGGGCGCAGATAAAGTGGCAGGCAAACAAGCCGAAGGAGGAGCAGGACGTAGAGCGGTGAAAGGACCTATGGCAAATCAGCTGCCAAGGCACCGCAGCTTACTGGCAAATATTAAAATGCGAATTTTTATGCTCGCTGACATTCGAGCCTCCCACTTTTGCCACCCTACCCCATGGAAACATAATTCTCACTATGCGGAAAATGGGGGAAAATGTTCCCCGTTCGTTGCAGAGAGAGAAATTATTAATGGGTTGTTATAATAAATTATATTTTCAAACTTTGAAGGCTACTTTTAGGGACTTGAAACTTTTAAGGGAGCCTTGCCAGGAACCGCATTAATATATTTTAATTGAACAAATCCCTTGAAACATATTGCATTCCGATTCGACTGGTGATGCAGATCAAAAACCCACAAAGATACAACACTTTATGGCATTGCCCCAATTTTGTAATATTATTTGCCGTGTTCTGGCTCGTTCTTCGCTTGGCTCCTGGCTCCTGGCGCCTGGCGTATCCTTTCGGCAGCATTTTCTTTGCCGCGTGCGCACATAAATTAGCTGCCAGGCTAAGAAATGGCGGCGGGCAGCAAAGGTTGTCCCAACATCCAACCAACCAACTCTCCCCCGCTGCGGTTTGTTGCGCTCTGTTTATGCGGGTGGTGCGGGTGCTGCTGCTGCTGCTGCCGGTGGTGCCGCGGGTGCATTAAACCAATAAATCAGCGAGCCACTGCAAAAAAAAAAAAATAGAGCAACAAAAATGCTGAAAGCTGAAAGCAGAAAGCGGGCAAACTGTTGTCAGGCACTCTTTGAGCCACCAACGCTGCTCTGCATATTTAATCAATATGCTGAAGCACAAAACATGAATTAATCTTGGCGCCCTTTAAAGCGCTCCACATTTTTACCAACCACACACACACAGTACACACACACAGAACCGGGGAAAAAGGCATTTTTAATTTAGAGAAATTCTTGCGGCCATAAAAAGCTTGTCGGGCAAATCAATTAAATTTAAATTGTATCCCATTAGAGCCACATTAAATGAGTTAAGTCATTTGGGGGACCGCGTGCCGCGTCTTAGCCTTCTTTTATACGGCTTTGAAAAGGGTACAAATGAATTCATTTTATTTTTTGACGCACATAACCGCCCCTGACCGTCTCCATCCACCTCTCTCCCCCCGTGGTGTCCTTTTTCCGCCACTGCTGGACGCAATTAAAATGCCCACGAGCTACTAATT